ACTCACACAAGGAGCCCAATGTACTCACTTCCTACACACTTGGGCCTTGGAGGGGTTCTTCTTCTTATCTACATCTCTCTCTCTCTCTATATATATATATATATATGTATATATATATATATTATATAATATATATATATATAAGTATAAATATAAATATTATATTATATTACAGACTATATACTATATGTTATATATCATATATACTATATTATATATATAATATATATATATATATATATATATATTATATATATAAGTATAAATATAAATATTATATTATATTACAGATTATATACTATATGTTATATATTATATATACTATATTATATATATATATATATACATGAATTATATTATATGGGCTTAGGGTCAGGGTTTGGGGGGTTATGCAACTCGGCTGCTTGTCATGGCTGTCGTAGGCCCAGTACAAGAAGCTTCTGGAGAGCCTCCGGGGACAGCGAAGCAGCATTGCGACGCTGGGGTCTCAGAACCTTCTGCTGCAAATCAAGCTTAGAGCACTTTGTGCACGGCTGTCGATGGTGCTTGATCATCCTTACATCTCAGGCCGCAGTGCCTTCTCTTAATTACCGTTGCACACTACAAAGGCTCAAGCGTGACCTCTTCATTGCCCAGCAGCAGGCGGGTCCGATGTCTTCAAGCCACCGAATTCCAGGACCTCAGAATGCTACCGACAGAGCCCGAATTTGCCGTCACGACGCGCAATAGAAAGATAGTCTATGTCTTGATGCAACATGTACATGTATTTCATACGAAATTCAAAACCGCTGGCTGTGGTGGCCTCAGGGATTCCTGTGGCTGCAAAGCACTGTGCCCCGCATCGACATCGCTCGTGCAAATTGTGGTCTTCTTTCGCATCGATATTATTGCAGTGTACTCGTGCCTGCTATCAGCGAGAGAAGAGGAAGCTGGGGAGGCATCTCGCTGTAGCGGGTATTTTGAGGAACCCCATACCTCACAAGGAGCAAACACCAAGCCAAACTTTGAGCCCCAACCTTGAAGCGAGCACCCCCACCCCAAGCTCCATCCTAAACCCTAAACCCCGGCCGAAACCTAAGCTCAAAATCCGACAGCGGCGCCCGTGTACATGCACAAAACTCCGAAAGCAGAGTCCAAGCCTTCAAAGACCCGAAGATGGTGGTGGTGGTCGTCGTGGTCGTCGTGATGGTCGTCGTGGTCGTCGTCGTGGTGGTGGTGGTAGTAGTAGTACATAGTAGCAATCGTGGTGGTAGTAGTGGTAGTAGTAGTCGTCGTCGTCGTAGTAGTAGTAGTAGGAGTAGTCGTGGTCGTAGTAGTAGCAGTGGTAGGAGTAGTAGTAGTCGTCGTCGTAGTAGTAGTATAGTTAGTAGTAGTGCAGCAGGAGTGATTAATGTGAGTGGTAGTACGTAGTATGCGGTCAGAAGACAGGCCGAGAGCGCTTCCGGCTTGGAGAAGGCAGTTGGACAGAGCAAAGAGCTTTTTTTCCGGAAGGGGGGGGGAGGTTGTCAGTGTGTTGTAAGGGTGTTGCCTGGATTTATCAAGTTCATAACCCTAAACCCTAAACCCTAAACCCTAAAAGGATTGTTCTAAGAGGCCGTAAAGGTTCTTGGTCAAGGGCTCGCCAGCCCAGGCCTCCCGATAAAGCTGCAACCTGAAGGATTCTGGACGCCATGGGATTGTGTAGGAGATCTCTAAACCCTAAACCCAAACCGCCCTAAATTACACCGCCCTAGATTACCAAACCACAAGCCTATTCTAGGCTCTATCGGTATGTTCGATTTCTCTTTGCGGCATCGAACAGCATTGTGCCAGCCTTGCGGGTGAGTCTGAGGTTCCCTCATGCTATCATACATATAGCAAGACTCACTGTACTCCGATTGTCCGAATCCCGAAAGGGCACCCGCAGAACATCACCTCGAGGTTCAGAAAGACAAATGTTGATCCCTTCTCGCTCTTCTCTCTCTCTCTCTCTGTCGCTCTCGCTCTCGCTTTCCGTCTACCTTTCTGCAGGAAGTCTACCACCTCCAGAGGGAGCTTCTGCAAGAGCGGACGAAGGCTTTTGGCAGGGACTCGGGGTTGTGAGGTTCAGGGCGAGGGGGGGGGGCGCATCGTAGGATGGCATGGGGTACAAGAATTGCGATATAGACGAAGTGCGACTTTCCGTGTTGATTGGTCTGCTGTAGAAAGTATGCGTGCGGTCCTCTTTGCAGGTTCGAGCTCTTTCAGAAGAGCTCGAGAATCCGATGACACTTGGGCCGCACTGCCGTGAAACCTAGGGCAGCGATTTCAATGTGTTGATTTCTGTATGCTCATGAGCTCAGGAACGTCCATCGCTGGAGAAAGCTTGAGGGATCTGATCCGGCCATCTACGCATCTTGGCGACCTTATCTTGCTGGAGAGTGTCGTAATTATGGCGTCTGTCAGTTGCGGCATAAAAACTGCTGTCTGGCTAGAACCGTGATATTCTGGCCCCCTATTTGAGATAACCTCTAACCAGGCCATGCAGTTGCGCGGTTCGTGGCACTGAGGTGTACTAAAGTATGCAAGTGTGACCTACAACTAGAATATCTGTTGAGGCAGTCATATAGAGCTCTGACACTTCATTCTGAAATTCGTGTTGGCGTCCTGTGCATGCCAGGAGCTCATCCAGAAAGCCGCTTGGTTTGCAGATGGAGAGGTCTACGGGTGCAGGGAGATGTGACACCAATGAGAGGAAAAAAGCAGAACAGCAAAGGGCCGGGGTGCTTCTTTCTTGGTTGTGTCTGCAAGCATTGTCTTACAACAAACTCCAATGCGCTAGAATAATGGACATTAATGGACTATAACATACCAGAGATATATATACATGATACTATGATATACTTCTTTTATAGTAACACGGCACCATACGATGCCTCAATACATCATGTAGGTAGTATTATTACGGGTACCCCTTAAAGGGTACCCCTTCTGAACCCTACTTTTGGCTCTCTTAAAAGGGACCTTATTGAGAGGGTCTATATCCCCAAGGGTCCCCCCTAATCCTAGCTCCCATCATGGTATGCTACCATGGGGATGAGGAGCCTTAGGAGTTTGGCCCCAGGTGCGAACCTTGCAGAAGCGGCTGATCGCCGTGTCCTCAGAGGGCATGCGGAGCAGGAGGAGCTGGGGTTAAGGGTTTAGGGTTTAGGGCTGTTGGAATGTACGGTTCAGGTTTTTTTTGTTTCCGAGTCTGTGCTTTCGGGTTGATTTGTTGTTTTGCAAGCTACGGATTAGGGTTTAGGATTTCGGAGCTTCAGTCCAGGGAGTGTAATCTGTGCTTCGCTCCAAGTGGCGTGAACGTTCTATAGATCCCTAGAGTCTTAGAGCCTGGACCGAAGTCATCCGAAGATCACCTGGTAATCTTTGGACATCAGGGTTTTCTCCTAAACTGGACCGGCACCCCGAACGCCAAGCCACAAACTCAAGTAGCCCATTCGCTGCGTGGATGGCTGAGGCCAAAACCGAGGAGGTTGTCGCAAAGGATGTCGAGATCCAGGAGAAGGAAAAGCTCCACAAGGACCCCTTCTGCCACATGTCTGTCTGTCTGTCCGTCCGTCGGTCCATCCGTCTGATTGTCTGCGTTTGTGTGATATTGGTATATGCTTATCATAACACGTATCAGCATGATGATATGCACGACGGAACTGCCTGGCACGGTCGACATGTCCCTGCCTACCTGTCGCACAATCGGCGGCTCTGGACCCCTAAACGTACGATGACGCTCCTCGCTGTCCTGCATGATTCGTATACAATACTCTCCCGTCATGAGCTGCACGAAGAACATACCGTAAACCAGTACACTTTGCCGTCTGTGATCTACAACCCTACGGCACACTCTGCGGAGCGAAAGGCATGCTGCAACTTACTTCAGGAGCTGACGTCCATCCTGGAGAAGCAGCCTGGCCCCGAGGTGCTGGAGCAGTTGGAGCAGTACCAGGAGCAGCGGCTTAGGAGTTTTAGGATGGGGGCGGAGGGTCGATGGCTTTGGGATTCGGAGCTTTTGCAATGGCACAGAGCAGCTTCAGGTGTCGAATACATCAGCTCCCCACAGGGTTTGGGACTAGGGTTCACACCCGACAGTTTAGGGTTCAGTGGGCTTTGCACCCCGAACATGAGCCCAAAGTTCTTCGACCCTCGACTGACGTAAACCAAAGCTCTGGACGTGCAGGCGGACCAGTGATCTGTAATGTGTATCTTGCAGTATGTAAGTCCTGCGCGATCGTATACTATGTTTGTCCGAAGCTGTCGTGCAAAGTGTGCTCCTGCAGCAGGAGACGTACAATGCTAAGCTCAAGCAGATGAAGGCCATGCAGAGCGAGCTCCACACCTATCAGTCTCAGGCAGGATTGGAAAAGACACAGCCATTGATTGTGGGGCTGTAAGTCACCCATTGCTCCAAAGTTTGCTGCTAGTGAGTGCCCGAGTTCGAGTGCAGTGACTGAGAATGCCGGCCACTTACAGTCCTCTGGAAAAGAAACGAGAAACGAGCCGACACAACCCACAAACGTGACAGAATAACCCTACATTGCCTTACATCCTAAAGACTCCGCGGCCCTATAATTGGAAATCTAAAGCCAGAACCCAAAAGTCTCCATGACTATAGGGGCTTGAGTCCTTCTTCAATAATTCGAAGAGTGCTTCGGGGTATCTATGAGTTTATACTTCTATGAAGCAACCCCAGGGAAGAGTATTACCAATGGTTCAGGATCCCACGAAGCCCTAAACCCTAAACGCCTGAAGCCCTAAAGCCCCAAACCCCCAAACAGAAGCCCCAAACCCTAACTGTATGAAGCCTTCCATGCAGGTCTCCGACTACAAGGACGAGATCGATCGGCTGAATCGGGAGCTCTCTGAGGTCAAGAAGCACCTCGGACTTACTTGGGGTTTAGGCTTTAGGCTTTGGGGTTCGGGGGTTAGGATTTAAGGGGTTTAAGTTTAAGGTTTAGTTCAGGATTTCGGGTTTGGGTGTAGGCAGGGTCTCGGCGTGGAGTGACGGTTGGGGTAAAGGGTGGGCACAAGGATCTAGAGTGTTTTAGGGTTCAGGGGTTGAAGTTCCTTTTTGGTGCCGGGTTCTGCATCGCCCAGCCTGAAGTTGCCACAGACCTGAGCAGATAGTCACTGCGTCCAGACGGGATCTGGAAGAAGATGGTGCAATCTGAACCTAAGGCCCAAAAGCCCAGCTGCTCACCCCAAACCCGAATCCCAGGACCCAGCAAGTACTGTCTCTGGGCTTCTTGTATCAGTGGCTTTTCCAGGAAGTTCTTCGAGCAGAAGAAGCGAGAAATGATGCAGCAGGCCGTGGAAGAAGGGCATCGATTTGGGCAGATTTGGGGCTTGTTAAGAGCTGGAAGTTAGAAGTAAGGGTCATCTTGAGATACGTGATGTCAGGGTCCATGTTAGGCTGTCTGGGTTGTGGAAACTCTCCCATCCGATACGTACAGACAACTTCTTGTGCAACACATCTTTAAGATGCTCTCCGACGTTAGAGGACGCAGAGCAGGTCGGCACAGACTGCTAGGCATGCTTGAGTCACACGAAGAGTGCTGCAGAAGCAGCAGTTCGTTACTCCAATTCTCGCAGGAGTCCCAGCGTGGTGACGGCCGCGTCATCCATCCACGGCCAGTTCCCCAGGCCAGGCAGAGGAGTGCAATTCAGGGTTCCCTATTGCAACCATTTTCAGCGAGCGCTTGCGTCTCAAAGACCAGTAGCATGGATTGTCATTGCTAATCGGGAACCAAGGGTGGAAGACAAGTCCAGGGCGACCACGTATGGTTTGTCTCTCATATGTTCTGCACGACACACTCTCCATCTGTTTGATGCAGTCTATTGATAGGAAGTCACCAGAGACTCTGATCCCATCGCGCCAGGCTCGCTACATGGGCGGCTTGTTCAGCCTGTCCCACTGAAGGCGGGAACGGGACGTTTCGATGTTTCGATGACGGGGTCTCAGGCAGAGTCCACACAGATGCTGAGGGGAGTTCATACTTGCCGGGCCGTCTTTGATGGGATCCTGAGTTTTCGATCCCATGAAAAGGGGGCATTTTGGCATGTTGTTTCGGCGTTTGGGAGCATCAGTCACCCGGGGCTGGGCCGGCTGGGCCCACGCAAGCATAGGCCAGGGCCTAAACCCTCGACATTGTGGCATAACCATGTGACCAACAGGAGCATCGCCTGAGGGCCGCGTGCCCTTCGACTCTGCAACCTGAAGCCTGGACTCCGAAGCTTCAGCTATGAGCCCTAAGCTGAAGCCTTAATCCCAGATGGAATGCTTGTGGAAGGCTTCCCTTATAAAGCCTTGAGCCCCAAGTACAGCTAATTCGTGAATGGAGTCCTCATACGATCTCAGCTGTGGGCCTGAACCCATCCAGTCGCAAGAAATTAGCAGCTAGGTGTCACCCGAACAGACCCAGTCGAGAACACCGTCATGAGCATCAGCGACATGCCGCCTTAACACAAACGCTTGGCAGCGTGTAGCATTCAGGGATTTCCCGGACCGACACGATCAACAACAGCATCATGAGCATCAGTCGCAGGCCGCCTAACAATTAGCGGTGTGTGTCACCAAATCGACAACAGCATCATGCGCATCAGCGGTCGGCCGCTGAGCCCATCGAGTTACAAGCAGTTTGCAGTCGGGGGTCACCCGAACCTGCCCGATCGACAGCAGCATCATGAGAATCACGGGTGGGCCGTCTAAATTCTATCCAACCGCAAGCAGCTAGCAGTCAGGGGTCAGCCCAGCCCACGCAATCGAGAAGAGCATCATGAGCATCACCGGCGGGCCGCCTTAGGACCTGTCGGACTTTGTTGTGATCCCCGTTTCAAGGTTTGACAGATACCCAGCTCTTTGGTTTCCCTCCTTGGCACCTACGCATCACAAGCACAGACAGTCGCGAAGAGAGAGCTTTTGGGCGCAAGGGTGCAGAGCAGAAAGCAGTCTCGCCTGAGCAGACATGGAAGCAGGCGCCCGCGGCTTCGACAAATCTGTCACCGAGGCAGAAGTAGGTTTCACCTTCTCAGCATGCGGGGAAGAGTTCTGACTCGTACCAGTGTGAATGTGCCGTTGAGTGTTGCCAGCGACCATGCAGAACTTCTTCCCCGGTAAAGTCTCACCCGGTGGTCACAGAGGCAAGATCCACTTGCCTGGCAGAATGCCTCAAGATGTTGACCAGTCCCGAAAGCATCAAATTCCCTCGACCCTTCGCCAATCTTCTTAGAGAACATACCATCGAAGGAATGGTCTCAGGCATCTTGGGGCAGGGACGCGCTGGGGGTGTCGAATGACCCGACCGGCGTCGTCAGCTCACGAATTTCCCACCTCGCCAGGAGGAAAAACAAATGTCAACGGCTCGGTTTTTTGTTTCGTTTCGGATTCTGGGTTCGGGGTTGAGGGCATAAATGTGCTCGTGAAACCTTGGCCTCAGGGCCAGCGTCGGGTCGATGGTTTCCTTGGGGCCTCTGAGAGTCTCTGGCTCTTGAGGAGCGCTTCTCGGAGGATTTCTGGGAGAGTCCTCTTCAGTTGCAGATCTTCCAATATACGGACACTGCGTGATATAATAATGCAGGCTGCAAGGTGCAAAGTCCAACGACGAGCCCTAATGTCACAACCTAAACCCTAAACCGAACCCCTAAACCCCAAACCCTAAACCCCGACATTATGAGAAGTTGCGATGTCGACATTCGACCGGCTTTGCCTCGCAGTTTAGGCTCTTCATGGGGGCAGCTCTGCCCGACGGCTCAGGACTCTAAATTCGTCATGCTGCCAAAGACGATCTTTTGAGGAGGTGTTGTGCCTAAAGAAGTTCAAGGGAGGCGCAGCTGCAATCTAGGCTTTGGCGAAACAGAAGTAGCCAGCTCCAGTGATAGCCATGACGCCGGTTCCCGTCATCTCGCTGCCCAAAGCTGCGGAGGTGTCTTGCCGCACCCAAGCTTTCCGAGAGTTTGTTTCGAGGCTTGTGCCCTAAACGTGATGGTATATACCTGTGAAACCCTACACCTTAATGAGTACTATAGGGCTCTGTAATAGGGTTCCCTGTAAAGGGTACTGTAGGGTTCTACCATAGGGTTCCCTTTAAAGAGACTAAGCTGGTAATCAGAGCCTGGGTTCTAAGGTACCAGGGCCCTGTTAGGAGGCGAGGTGGAAGCTGGAGAGCCAAGCAGCGTTGCCAAAGAACGTTCCCGGAAGTTGTACTCTTCGCCACACGGCAAGCGTTGTACGTAACAGCTACAGTCTTTCTAAACCTGTTATAACACAGGGTCTTTCCAGCTTTCGAAGCGCCACATCAATTCCTGATCACCTTGAGCATGGTCCTTTGCTGCTTTCTTGGATCCCCCAAACTTCAATCAGCCTGACACCCCGAAGCCAAACCCCGAGCGCTGAAAAATGATTCAACCAGGAGTTTTCCTAAGCACATGGCAGGAAAGCCCTGCTCAAGCTTGAAAGTTTTCAAGGGCTCTGCTCACATTCTGTACAGAACTTGGCAAGAGCCCAAAGCCTTTGACACCTCACATCGATATGACCATGTTAGGCCGAAGCCTGAAGCCTGCTTTAAGCCAGATTCCTGATTGTTAAGAAAGCTAGCAACTTTAGAAATGTCACAATCTTACGTTGGGCCTTCAAGCCCTGTTCTCAAAGTACCGCCTTATAAGAAGACCAGGCCGAGCACTTCGTGATCCATTCCGATGTCGGGACCCCTTCGGGGTCCATGCCGGGCCTTCCGAGGCCCAGAAGCTCAAAGCGTGGTGATTTTGGAAGGTGGTACGGGAGGGGTTTAGGGGGTTTAGGGTTTTGGGACTCTCTTCGAATCTGAGAATGTTAGAATCTCGGAGACCACATTTTTGGAGTTTGGGTCTGTTCATGCGTTTGAGAGACAATGTCATGGGCGGGAGGGCTTGCTCGCAAAGGGTCTGCTCCAGGCAGCGCCGTCGGGACAATCTCAGCCGGAGGACAGCTCTGTGCTTCGAGGTTTAGGATTTGGGATGCTGTGATTTAGGCTTCGAGGTTTACGGTGTAGGGTCTTGTGTCCTGATTGCGGTTTCGGGAATTGTTGGGTTTGCTGTGGGGCTTCGGAGTAAGAGGCCAGCACGAATCATGTTGATCCGGCGTTGACGTTATATTTATATATATATATATATGTTGTATGTATTGTTATGTATAGTATATGTACATATACATATATCATATATCTAGATTGAGGTCTATGCGTGAGTACATACTTTCTTGTATTGGTTGTTGCGAGCTGCTGGTGAATCCCGGTTCTAAACCTCTTCAAAGTGGCGATGATCCGTGTTCGCCCAGGAAGCCCTCGCCCACCTCCGAGGGGCTAGGCGCTCGGAATCGTCTGTGGAAGACTTGACAAACTTCAGTCTGAACCCTAAACCC